ATGCCAGGATACTACAGAGCGTCCTGGTGGAGCCGCCAGCAGCACCGCACACTCGCCTTTCATTTCTGCACCTTGTGTCTTCTCTGAGGATTTGCTGCTCAGTGGGAGCCATAGCTTCTCTTTGGTCTCCTCTGGAAGTGAGGGTTTAACCATTTTACTTACGCTCTGCTACTTTCTGCGTTTGTTCCTAACATTCATGAGTGACTTTAAAATATACAACTTTTTCCATAAATTTAATAGATTTGTCTGCTTAGTCCAAAAATGATGCTGCTTTGTTTTTAGGCAACAGTGTTTTCCCATAAAGTAGTGTATTTGGATGATGTTCATGTGCAGTGCAATTTAAGAAGGTGACATGGAGCATAGGAAAAAGAGAGAGGGAAGAAGCACTTTGTGGCTTACAGATTTCAAGAGCCAGCACTGTATTACCTAACACAGGCACTGCACTGCACAAGGCACTGTTTAAGTGGTTCTTTTCCCTGCTTTCTCTCGCTTACAAAATTTTAACCTTGGCACTATTGACATTTTGGACAGCGTAGCTCCTTGTTGTGTGGGTTGTAGTACCCTTTGACATCTACACGTTGGACACCAGTAAAGTCCTTACTCAAGTTGTATGTCTAGATGTTGCCAAATATCCCCAGAGGTACACACTTTTCACCAACAATCACAGATCTATTTCTGTGCCTAACTTTCCCTCGTGATAGGCTACATCACTAGTTTCTGATTCATCTTGGGCTTTGATTTTATCATGTCATGGTCGTTCCCTCAGCCTGTGGCCAAATTAGCTCTTTTTAAAATATTTCATGGGCAGTTTCTCCTTTCTGTCTGCTCTACAGCTAGGGGCAAAATGTGCAACAGTGAGTAGATTTTGCCTGTTCTGGTGGGACCCTTTTTTTTTTTTTTTTTTCCAATCTCACACTGTCTTGAATACCATCTATTTTGGGGTAGTTTTCACTGAGGCTGCTAGAACTGTCCTAAGGACTCATGGCTTTGATCTTACAACCTTTAGTGTTCAGGTCTCCTTGCACAGGTGATATAAATCACACTTGTTTTCGTGACTTCAAATGTATTCTTCACCTAAATCTGTTGTCAAATCCAAACTGAATACTTTCAAAGCAAATCTTTCTCAGAATATAATATCATGTCTGTATAATATTTTTAAAAAGAAAACCACTCCATTAGGATGTCACAAGGCAAAATTTGACATAAAATTAATTTAAGAATTTCCTTCTCTCTCCCATTTAATAAGTGGTATTTAAATTCTTCGCTTCAGAGAGTACGATGACAGTCAACACTTGTAGTCTATTTATTTGCTAGACCCAATATAAACTCATCCAAAATCAAATTACAGTAAGTGTAAAATCTAGTGCTATGCTGTGTAAGATCAATGAATGCTTTTCATCAGTGGGTCCCAATTTTTATGGACAAAGACTGTTGTAATTCTAGCTTGAAATCCAGTAAGTGTGGGTGTAAGTAAAATATTGTATTAATTTTGAACAAATAGGCATAGACGATATTTTAAAAATGCTGTACATGATCATAGTTTGTACGGTTTTTTTTTTTTTTTGAGAAAGGGTGAAAAGAAGAGCAATATCATTTAGAAAATAAGAGGGCAGATTCTGGAGTCCAAAATGCCTGGGTTCAAATTTCAGTGCCAGGATCTCCCAGTCGCATTACCCTGGACTAATTATGCAAAATCTCTACGCTTCTTTCTGTCTCATTGTATAATAGCAGAACTGACAGAGATAGTTTTCTAATTATATTATTTAGTTAACTGAATAATAGAACGCATATAAGCAGAGAATTCTATCCTTGTCCTGTAGTAAGAATTTGATGAACGACAGCTATAATAATTTCACAGAAAATTGGATTGTAGTGGACAGGAAACCCATCCTCAATCGGCTTGAGAAAGAAAGAGAAGTCTGGTTTGGAAAAAAAGAGAGGCCCAGAGGGTGTTCTGGTTGAAAGTCAATTTGCACTATGTCATAAAGCCGTGCTTCCCTTCCATTTCTGTGTCCATTTTAAAAAATTACTTTGGCTGTATTTTTCTACTGTTTGTGAGAAATCCTTGAAATTCCCATGTCTCCTGTTAGAGTGACAGCTCCTGACATCCAGTTGGACTCCATATGAAAAAGAATGAACATTTTGTCTGGTAGCTCCTAGAAAAATTCAAAAGTTTGCTATGATCAGGTTTGTTTAGGTCATATACGTAACCCCTCACAACCATAGGCATATGCTGGGCTGATTGAATTGGGTCTTCTCTCATCTTCTGTGGATATGTTGGAGGCTGGAGCAGGAGGAGCTGTATCCAGATTCTTCACTAAGAGTGTGCACACAAGCGGAAATGCAGAATCCTATACTAATAAATAAAATGAGCATGTGCCACTTTCTTGGGTCCTTCCAACAATCCTGGATATAGTCAAGATGAGCCTTTGGCCCTCCATAGTGATGTGTGCTTATAATCCCAGCACTAGGGAAGCTGAGGCAGGACGACTATGAGTTCAGGGTCATCCTGGGCAATTTAGCAAGAGCTGTCTCAAAAAACCAAACCAAAGGATGGATGCATCCTGGGAGCTCAGGAAACTTCCAAAATGCCTCTAGCTCAGGCTCCTTATTCTCAGGGTGAAGAGCTAAATCAGAGGGTGACAAGACATCTTGCGGCAGGACAGAGAAATGCAGATTGCCACTAAGTCCAGGCTTAAAAGAGTTTCTAGGAAAGGAGATGCTATACTGAGGCTTTGAAATGAAGAAAATAATTCTGCTGTCAGAGCTAAACTTTGAAAACCAAGATATACAAAGTCATAGTAGAGAGACTATTTTATAGGCTCCAAGGCCTATGAAATTGAGAGTATTAAATCATGGGGCAAGGATGCTAACCGGAAAGGGGGTGGTCAGACTTAGAAGGGTGTATTTCTGAAAGAAGGTAGAGTGGATAAGGGGACTCAAGAAGGAAAGGTGGCATCATTTGTGGAAAGGTTCTTTACCCCTATCACCTACTTTGTATGTGAATGAGTGAGAATAGTTGTTGCTTGTTTAGAGAGTTGCCTGCATATTCCCTGGAAGCTTCTCTGTAGCAGCGGTGGCTAGGAGGAGGCTACCCGTCAAAAGGAGCGCACATCTGGGGGTTCTTCTGTCACAGAGAGCTGGCGGAGTCGCAGCAGGTTTGCGCAGCAGTCTGCACACAGGACGTTCTCCTCTCGGTGCTGAACCCTCCCAGGGCTGCTTCTTATTGGCAAACACCAGTCAGCTTTCTACCCGCCTGCATTCTGGAGGATTGAAGCTTATTTGTTTATTTGTGGGAAATTATCGTTTAGCAAGTGTATGGGTCCATATGGCACAGCAGCACTTCATCGGGATTGGAAAAGAAGTTCCATGGATGCATCCCAATTCATGGGAGGTTCAGCCAAACTCTCTAGTATTAGTCATCTTGTTTAGTTTTTCAAAAGAAGCTTTATATGCCGTGGCCTGGGGGCATAGATGCCTCATCATCATTTGGATCCTTGAAGCAAAGCAATCATAATAGCAAACTCGCTCTTAATAGTTTCAGAATTAACATCATTTATTCACCAAATTTACATCTCTTATGCATATAGATAAATATTTTCCTATTACATTGCTTGAAGGGTAAATCTCAAGGTCTTTAAATTCTCGGAGATTTATTTATCTAAAGCTTCTTTGTGTGTGAATGATCTGGAAATAAATATTATGAAAGCTAAATTCCCTCATTGTAAGCTACATGAAAACAGTGCTGAATCTTTCTGATGAAAGCAGACTAGTAGGATTTCTAATATTGACTCTTTCTGAGGGTGTGTATTCATTATTGTGAGCCCCAGTTACATCATTTCTCAGGGCAGATGGGTTGGCTTAATGAAAGAAGACTGTGCCATGCTCCTGGACAGGGTGGATGCTGTGACTGCTGGCCTTGTGACACGTGGAGAGCGCCCAGGTTCTTGTCTGTTTGGAAGACCGGACAGCATACAGGCTATGTATTTTGGCCCGCAGGTGGCATGGGGTCCTCATTTCTTTTCCTGTGGTTTCGTGGTGCGAAGCACATTTATTACAATAACTCAGGAAACAGCAGGGTACATCTGCATGCAGCAATCCTATGAGGTCTGCACCCCAGCGCGGAAGGCAGCCTTCTGTCTAGTCCTGTCTTCTAGCACACTTCCTCCTGATTTACTTTGTTCTCTGCCCTTAGGGATCCCACCTTTCATGGAAAATATCTGGAATTTCCCAGGGCTCACTTTTATGATAGTGAAAAAAACCAGGAAAAAAACTAAGTGTTCCAATTTGATGACCAGCTAACTATATCAGGCTATGTCTGAGTTTTGTAATATTGTACAGAAATTAAAATGTTTCAGAAAAATATTTAATGGGGTAGGAAACTATGATGCTGTGATGCTAAGTGAAAAGTCTTATACCAAATTCTGCCTAAATTATGCCTCAGTGTCATAATTTATATATGTACATGTGCATAAGGAATGCAAAAAAGTAGAAGGAAATGAATTAAATGTTATAATGATCATTTTTGACTTGGAGAACTAAATATAACTTTTATTTTTTATACTTTTCTATATCTTTTAAATTTCCTACAATGATTATATATAATTAAGACTATTTAAAAAATATGAGTAAAGTAACATTATTTTAGCGTTATTTTAGAGTTCTTCTGCTGTTACATGAGAAACTTTACAGTGATATGTGTATCCCATGTAATGTTTTCCTCTTTATCTTTTCAATGATAGCATACAAAAATCTATAACTAATAATATTAAACTATCTGTTTTATTAAACTTTAAATGAAAAATATTCATATTTATACACATTTGATTAAAATAAATGGTCACCTATTTTAATTTTTTTTTTTTTTTTTTTTTTTTGGTTTTTTGGTTTTTCTCCAGTACCGGGAACCGAACTCACGACCTTGCGCTTGCCAGGCAGGCACTTTGCCGCTGAGCTAAATCCCCAGACCCTGTCACCTATTTTAAGCAATGAAGACTTGATACATAGCCATAAAATTATTTTATTTCAAGGTAAATATAACTGCCAGATTTTAATCAAATAACAACAGTTTGGAGACATAGATATCTGTGTACATGTATGTGTAGAATGTATACTTTTTAAAAACAGTAAAGCATACTTAATGACATGTAATCTTTTTACTACAGACTATAGACATTTCTCAGATATGAAATAAAACTAATATGACTAGGAAGACAGACCTGGGACAGAGTAACAGCTTTGCAAGTAGTTTATGTATAACATTAGTAATGTCAGTATACAAGTAAGCCACTTTGCTGGCAGTTTTGGCAGTATGAGTCTTTAAGACACTGCTGAATTTCACAAAAGATTCTGGAACATAGCAACTCCTGCCTGAAGAACGTGTAGAGAAGCAGGTACAAGTGGGCCACAGTTGGTGAAAGCTAAGCAGATACAAATGCTTTATTCCTATTGGAAACTGGGCAGAACAGCCCTGAGCTCTGATCTCCTATTGCTTGTCTGAAGGTTGAACATATTCTAAATACCTTTAGGTGGACATCGAAAGTAACAGAACGAGAAAACAATGAGGAGATGCCATTTCTGCCTGTAAAATTTTCCAAGTCAACACCATCATCCAGTTTCTGACATTCTTGAGCAGCTGTCACTTTTTAAAGCAAACTGCGGCTTTGTTTTTATCGGTGTTGCTGCAAAGGGAAAGCAAAGCTTTTGTTCAGAGTTTTAGCAAAGTAGCTACAGTCCGCTTAACTTCTGAAACATAGCTACTGCTCCTGGTAGTGAAGCACTGCAGAGGAATGTTTCTCGGGCCCCTTCTTTCACAAGATTACTTTACAGACAGGCTTTGAACATGTCACTCCACCTCAAAACATTGTACTGGCTTCTTGGTAGAGGAGCTTACATTATCTGAGGGGCGGTAGGAAAGTGTGCTCATTTTGGTTGAAAGGCTTGAGTGGGATTTAGCCTTTGGGGGAATGTACTTCAGAAGCTGGAGAAAATATTTCTTAAATTTTTTCCCCAGAAAGCCATAGAAAAGAGGGTTAAGGCAATTGTTAAAATAAGCTATGCAGATGGTGATAGGCATGGCTGTGTCCACGATATCCGAGATTTTACAGTCATGTATAATGCCCAGCTGGATCAACACATCCAGAAAGGTGAATATTTGGTGGGGAACCCAGGAAAAGAAAAAGAACAGAACAATTGCCATAATTATCTTAAAGATATCGTCATTTCTTGGCTTGTTCTTCTGGATTTCATAAGCCTTCTTTAGGGCCTTCCAAATAAGAGTGTAACTTGTAAGAATGATCAGAAAAGGAAACATGAAACCCAGGATATTTTTGGTCAGGCCCAGGCCTATGGGGAGGGTTGAATTTTGAGATTCATAATGGAAAGCGCACACTGTGATGTTGGTGTTCTCGATGAAAAACACGTTTCTGTGAATAATAACTGGCAAACTGGCCAAGGCAGCCAGAAGCCAAATTACGACGCAGGTAACTTTGGCAACAAGCATTGTACGGCGGAGGCGAGACTTCATTGGGTGAACGATAGCCAGGTATCGATCGATGCTGAGACAGGTGAGCAGAAACACACTGGCGTACAGGTTGAAACTGACGCTAGCCGAAGCGATCTTACACAGGTAATTGCCAAAGGGCCAGCGGTATTCCATAGCAGTGTAGACGGCCCACAGCGGCAAAGTCAGCAAAAAGCAGATATCAGCCAGTGCTAAATTCAAAAGAAAAACACTGGCCACAGTCTTCAGTTTCATATAAAAGTAAATGACAATCACCACCAAGCTGTTCCCAAATATTCCCACCACAAAGATGATACTGTATAATGTGGGGATCATGACAAATATGTAATTGTGCCTTCCAGCTTTAGGACAGTCATCTTGGATCCTTTTAATACCATCTTCAGTGGAGGAGTTGAGGATCATTTTGATCTCCTGAGTTGACGTAGTCTCAGGCTGTACACTAAATGTAACTGGAAAAAATAAAAATAAAAATAGAACAGTTGAATATCTAGCCTACGACTTACAAACAGTTTTACATCTCAATCTTAAATCCAGTAACTCAACTGTAGTTGTAGGAAAAACAATTTAGATCACATTTTCTGAAGAAATATTGTGAATTTATAAAGTTTAAAATAATAAGGTGGGTGGAGGGGCGTGCACCTATAATCCCAGCATTCTGAGTCAGGATAATCATAAATTCTGGTCCAACTTTGGAATCATAGTGAGACCCTGTCTCAAAAATGAAAAATAAAAAAGACCAGGGGATATAGTTCTGTGCAATGCCCTAAGTTCAATCACAAGGACTGCAAAAAAAAACCACACACATATAATACACATAATTTTTAGGTCATATTGTTTTTATAAGACATGATAAATGTCTTACAGATAATTGGAAGTGATGTCCTATATGAAGAAAGCTAAGTTCTTTTGCATTTTTTTCTGTAAGTAAATTCTAGCTTTCCAGTTGATGAAAAACATAATCTAAATAGTGAAAAACACTATTGAATTAAATTAGCTATTCAGAACACCTTGAAAGTTACTCCTGAGATGTGATGTTAATTTATCTTTAACACTAGAAGTATGACACATCTGTATCTTATTATTTAAGCCACTTCTTTTCTTTTTGGTATTGAGAATTGAACTCAGGACCTCACATTTACCAGGCAGACGCTGCGCCACTGTGCTACATCTCCAGCCCCTTAAGCCACTTACTTCATCTCCCAGTTCATTTAGGTAAATAAATTTTTAGCATCATGTCTTAAATGGTGGGAATAGGTGCTTTTAGGTTACTGCGAAACTGGTCATTGTGGGAACAGATTAGAGGAACGACTCAGTATTTTGGGAAATAGCATTCTTTCCATGGGTTTCCGGCCTCCACAAGCAGCAGCTGCTCATTCTTTAACTTCAACTCAGTCTGGTAAAAGTCTCTGAACTTCTCAATTTTATTCCTACTAGTCACATCTGGAGTGAACTCTGAAGTTAATCATTTGTGATTCTTTTCGAACTCAGGACCCTGTGCTTGCCAGGCAGGCGCGGTGCCACTGAGCCACATCCCCGGCCCCCTAACCATCTGTGTAACAAGGATGTCAAATGAGCAGAGTGGGTCGGGATTATCAGCTGGCATGTCTTTGGTGAGGGCTTGAAATAGCAGCAGTTCTTCAGGAGTTTAGGAAGAGTCAGATGCCTGGGAAAGAGCTCTGCAAAGTCTCCTGCAAATACTCACTATAATATTCTACATAATCAAAGGTAAACCTGTTCATTTATATGATTTTGAAAATGAACACATTTTGCACCTTCTGAATCTATCAGGAAGTCCATCAACATCTGCAGGCTCATCACCTGCAGGGGAAGGAAGCTGAAGGTGCCTTTTTCCCCAAGTATGTAATGTTATTCTTCCTATCCGAGTGTTTGGCCCTGTGGTCCTACTATCTTTTCCTCTGACACTCAACTTTTATATAACCCACATCCTTTTCTTTTTGCTCATGGGGACACATGTGTCACATGTCACATTCTGCGGGAAGCCTTTTCAACTTTTGTGAATTGCTTTGGAACTCTGGATCCAGCTTTGACACTTTAATCATCTTGCCATATGTGTCTTCCTCACTGGTTTGTCAGCTCCTTGAAGGGAGGCCAGTTAGAATCCTGTTTACTACTGATACAGTCCAAGAGGCAGATGACAAAGGTCTCAGGAGCGAGTCTTGGGTCAAATGAATGAGTGGACAATAAGTAACTTCAGTGCTACGGAGAGTTTTGAGACTCATTTCTATGGGGCTTATGAAACTAATGTGTAGCTTTCTCTTTTAGAGAGTCTCGTATGACTAGCCTATGTCAACGTGAGCTTCACTATAGATAAAGCAAAAATGAAACAAACATGCAAAAACCCCTTTGGCGCTTTTACAAAGGTGGGGTTTAGAAAACAGAAGATGACGAGAGGGACTGATTTAATAGAAACCAGGACTAGGCTTTTAGTAGTTCTTTCTCTCTTAGAAGGACTTTCCTATGCCTTGTTGACTTTTCCACTCATTTTGTTATAGTTATTGACTCGATGCCAGTTTAGAAGTATAATTTCCTTGGATAAACACTCTCCATTAAAAGTTGATTACTTCGTAAAAGGTTTATGGGCTAAAAGTCATTCATAGCTTCATATGGATTAATTTACCTATTTATTGTTCTTCTAGCATTAAGTTTTGATCAGCTGGATTTTGTTTAGGAAAAAAAAATTAGCAATTTCAAAGTTAAGGAAACTCAAAGGTTGAAAAGGGCCTGGTTGAATGTCAAGACTGAAATTGGGGACAGAAATACATCTTTGGCTCTGCTTGAGCAGAAAGGGACTACAAAATAGGAAGAAATCAGTGGATGTTTTAGAACCCCAGGGCAGGAAGGAGATTTTCCTTTCTCCCCTCTTTTTCCTGTGACCCTGTTTTATTTATTTATTTTTTTTTGGTTTTTCTCCGGTACCGGGAACCGAACTCACGACCTTGCGCTTGCCAGGCAGGCGCTTTTGCCACTGAGCTAAATCCCCAGCCCTCCTGTGACCCTGTTTTGAGAGTAGACAGTCAGATTGGTTCCATTAGTCCTGTACTTGGAAGAAGTAGAATTTTGTTGACTAGTCTGAAACTGTAATCAGCAGTCATAACGGAATAGAATGGGGGGAAAGTTTGGGTTTGAAAGGGCCAATTTACAAGCATAGTTTTGAACTCCAACTTCTTCAAAATTGAGGTTAGTCTCTTCTCCAGTTCCTGCTGATCCACACTGACTAGAGTTGAAGATGTAAAACTTTGCTCTGAACCAGTGAGAGAAGCAACCCTGGAAACTTTAGTGAGGTACTTATCATTTTAATAAGCATGTCACTTGAGAGTCTGGACAGAGCGTTGAATGTACTAATTAGAAGAACGTTTTACCTGGGCATTTGCAGAATGACTAAGACTGCCTGCCTAATAAGGAAACAAACTTGCTCATACTTAAGAGTGCACGAAAGAGGGAGATAAATGGTAGGGGGTGGAAACAGCAAGAACAGGGAGGCAGAAATGCAAACAGCATATGCAGCAGGCATTCATTCATCTGTCTGTCACATGACCACCGAACACCTACCATGTGCAGCTATCAAGGGTGCTAAATGAATAAAACCTCCAGTGTGTTGAAGGTCATATCACATCTAGAATGTTTGTGGATGTTGTGTCTTTGTTGTTGACTAAGTGTAGTGATGAGTATAGGTGCTAGAGTGCAGGGATGGGGGAGGAATAAAAGAAAACACTTGGATTCCAGAAGGTGCGTGGGTACCAAAATGATAACATTATAAAGGCAGACGGCTGGCCAGCCAAGAAGGAGTAGAGATTGTGTCTTCAGCTGGAATTTCCCTTTCTTATCAACATCTGCAGGCTCATCATTATGGATATCGCATAACTCTTGGAGGTGTTGGGTGTGAATTCGACTGGGCATTTCTAGATATGAGGGTGACGTGGCCTATTCTGCTTCCACTAGAAGGTTCCCCAGAGAAACAGCGTTCTTAGGAAAGAGGAAAAGGTGGGTCTCATGGTTGGCAGTTACTTTAGACTGAGAACCAACTGGTGGGAGACTATGGGGGTCCTTTCTTTTTGAAGCTGAAGGAGGGCTGTTTTGGTGAGAAGCTGAAGAAGAAGATGTGATCTGAGCCCTAATTCTGAGCCCTAGGAAAGTTTCTATTTCAGCTACATCTTGCTTCTCTTCCTAGGAGGATTCTGGGCAGGTAGAAAAATGCAGGAGTCACTGGGTGCTAAGTGAAATATTTGAGGAGACATACATATTTCACCTGCTTTAAACATGACAATGTGGATACATATACTGAAATATTACATAGTACCTCAGTAATATGTACAGTTTTTATGTACTTAATAATAAAGAGACACAGGAGGATCTACCTTCTTCCATTTTTTTCCTGTTTCTGGGTCTTGCTATGACTATTGCCTAAGTTCTATGGTTTATATGAATTCCGTAGCACCATTTCCCCTTGAGGGAAGAAGTTGGATTTGGAGTAAAAAAAAAAAAAAAAAAAGAACTTCCAATAGAATCATCCTGTGCCACTTGTCAATATGTGTGGTTCTGGGTAAGTCCCTTCATTTCTCTGAATGTCAGCCTCAGTTTCCTCATCTGTAAGATGGGGATAGTGATTCTTATTGTACATGATAATTATAGGAATTAAATAAGAGAATGTGAAGGTACTGGATGTATCTTTCAAATAGCAAGAGTAGATGAATTTTATTTGAACCTTACTATTAGGTTTTGAACACAGGGCAAGCACTCAGAACAACTATTGGTAAGGAAAGTGTGAGATTTAAAAAAAAAATCATCAGTAAGCTCTTCTTGTTACTGTTAAAAGGCTAAAATTTTCAAGCTGTTCTTCAGAAGCATGAGTAAAAGCAGTCTTAAGCAGCTGAACAAATTTGCCATGAGTCCCTGGGAACTTTCAATCTGCTGCAAACATAGGAATTTTGTTATTGTGGCCAAGACACCTTTCCTCACTGCTTGTTTTTCGAGAAGTTATCTTGTATTCTTTCCCAGCTTCCAGAATTGCAAGCACAAGAAAGAGGATTTTCTTTCCTTTCACTCTAAAAATATTCCCCCCAATTTTTGATTACATATTAATACCTCCTAAAGCTTTTAGGCAGGTTGAAACCAACCTAATTAAACTGTTCATTACAAGCTGCTTTTTAAATGAGTCTGCAATCTAAAGAAAAAAAATCCCATTGTTTCCTATGATAATAGAGAACTCAAAACCAAGCAATTATATTTTAGAATCATCTTCTATCAAAGTATCTATCCTAAATATCAAAAAGAACGGTCCAGTGTCCATAAGGCATTTGCTTGTAGAGTTAGCTCAACAGATCATTCTGTTAAAAAACCATTCTTTTCATTGCAGTTATTTTATCATTCAAGCTTTAGAAAGCATCTGTTTCTCTTTATATGTGTTCCTCCACCCCAGTAATGCTACAGA